GAGTGTATATGGTCGCCAGAAAAGTTTGTCGTTCCTGTATGAGTGTGCGCAGGTAAGTTTGCTTCTTTAATTTTCTTTGAGCCTCCTGTTTGCTTTGAAGAGTTAGCACAGTATAAGAATTTGTCTACAATCTGCTGCCACGTACCAAAACCCAGAACTGTTGCGGGATTTGTTGAATTCATTGATGTATATAAAGAACCAACAGGATATAATGTTTGAAGTATTTCAGTCTTTAATGTTTGAAGCTCTGTTTTGTCTGCTTTCTTATCATATAAATCTTGAGCAGTGAATTTAACATTATTTTCATCATCCATGACATAAACATTTTTACAGCTAATGTCTTTCTTCGTTGTTATGTTTTCATTCGATGTTAAACCTTGTGGAAAGTTAGGAGGTTTATAATATAATGCATCCCCACCAGTTCCGCCAACCGTTCCTTCAATACTTTCTATAGCAACAGTTGAGAAGGAGTTATGTGTATGTTCTTTATCTGCTTTCTTATCTAACATTGCTGGTAGTTCATATGTTTCAAAGTTTCTGACATGACCTTCGATATTTATACATTTGTTATTTAAGGAGTTTAGTGTATCTTTTACGCTTGTACTTGGATTCTCTAAAAGTGCACTTGAACCAAGGGTATAGTTCAATATTATGTCGTCTGCTCTAACACTAGTGAAGGATTCATGTGTATGGTTCTTGTCAGCTTTACTATTTAATGTAGCTTGAAGTTCATTTATATCGGAGATATTGTGTTTATGAGATTTCAAAACTTTGTTCGTTGCGTCAAGTTCATCTTTGTCAGCTTTACTTTTAATAACATCTTCAAAAGTTATTTTTGCCTTAACTCTCAAAGTAAATCTTGGTTCAACTAATACACCGTTAACAAAGAAGTATGAAGCATAAATTTCATTGTTATAACCAAATGCTTCTGGTGCTTTACCTGTGTCATACTGTACAGTACAGCGTATGTCATAACCTTCAGCACGAATGAATTTATATCTTCTTTCATTAACATCTTCAGTGCTTATTTGTTCATCCTGTGTTAAATATCCATGGTAGTCCGTTATAATCTGTTCGTCTGAACTTATATAATGAACATGGTTTTTATCTGCTTTTTCGGCTAATTTCTCTTCTATCTCATTTATTTCAAGTTCATGCCTACCACCACCTCCCGAAGAAGTATTTTTCTTCAGCTCTTGAAGAACGTCCACTTCGCCATCTTTGGTGTCAATAATGAGACTTTGAGTTAAAACCTTTCCTGTCTTAATGGATGTTTGTAAAACTTCTTCTTCACCGTGTTCGGGGTCATGGTCGTCATCATATCTTGTGAAATCAGAGATGTTGTCATACATTAAGCATATCTGTCTCAAAAGTTCTGCTATTTGAAACTGGAACGAAAGATATACAGAACTTTCATCATCTCCTAAAGTCAAGTCTGCTTTCTTAAGTATTTCTTGAATGTATGCAATGAGAACAGAGTACCTTGGAAAATATTCGAACAATATTTCATTAGCTGTTGGTTTTGGTGGTTCTTCTGGAGTTTCTGTTGTTTCAGTTCCTTCTGTAGGTTCTGTTGGAGTTTCTGCATCTCTTGACTTCAATGCTCTTGCTCTCAAAGACCTAAATGTTAGAGCACCAGGTTTTACAAAGGACTTTATAAATGCTTTAATAGTTCCTGGTAAGTTATTGTTAGCATTAAGTAAGTTCCTTATGCTTCCATCATGTACGTCCATAGCACTATGTAAAAAATCTATACTTTTCTTGTAGTCAGCAATAGACTGACTGTGATTTTTTAAAGATTTGTCAATACCTTTAAGCCAATCTTCATGCATGTCTGATACTGAGCCAAGAATATCATTTGCTTCCTTTAGTGTATTTTGTGCTTCTCGTAAAGTATCCAATCCCGTACGTGCATTGTTTGCTATACGTCTTACAGTATCTATTTGACTCCTTGTTTCTTGCATCCAACCAGATAAAGTTTTAATAGTATCCGAACCATTTGAAATGAAGTTCAAAGCATTTTTAACGTCATCTAAAGCTTCTTCACCAAGTACTGCCCATATCTTTCCGATTTGGTATTGAAGAACTCCATATGAAGCAGCTGTTAAACCAGTATTTATAAGGTTCCATATCCATGATTTAGCAGTTTTTCCATCCTTTCCATCTTCACCATCCAAACCGTTTTCGCCTTGAGGTCCTTGTATTCCTTGTATTCCTTGTGGTCCTTGAGGTCCAGTGTCACCCTTCTCTCCTTTCAGTTCATCTTTATGTTCGTTATAATATTCTAATGTCATAAGGTGTACATCATTACTGCTACCAGCAACGCCGAGAATTTGTTTCTCATTCATGACTAAATTCTTTAAGCATTTAATGTTGTCGTCAAATCGGAAGCTCTTTAGTAATTCAATGAGAACATTCAGTACTTTCACTAATGAGGCATCTACTGTAGAATTTATATATTGCACCGTTCCATCATTTATGATGGGAACCTTGCTTGTTGTAATGAATGGGTCATAAGTGTTAAAAGTATCGAAATCAATGACTTTTTTAGTTTTTCCATCGGCAATGACTAAATCATTGCCTTCAATGGTTAAAGTTGAGTTTTCGTTAACTAGTTCATGTGCTCTTCTTGCTTCATTTGTTTCATACGCATCTGCAGCAATAGTCATATTTTAATGAGAATAAAATGTTGTTCTATTTGCAAAGTACAGACCCGAACGAATACGGGACATTAAAGCTACAAACAAACTTAGGTCTTCAGAATGAAGCGCTTGCTTTCAGAGTTGTTGACTTCAATACTATCGCAACTTTTGTCATAACAGATGAAACAGATTTCATAGAGATTGAAATAGATGACAAAAGAAGTTTTATAACATTTCCTAACAGAGCTGGGTATAGAATAGATAAAATTGCTGGAGTCATGGATACTCTCATAAATGAAGAAACTATTGACAACATAGATGTCGAACTCTCTTCGGAGGGAACATTGAAGTTCAGCAGCGAGAAAGAGTTTAAGATACCAAGAATGAGTCATAGAGTTCAATTGCTTCTGGGTGCATACCATATGACATTTCCTTTGAAAAATGTTGACAAAACGATTGAGATGAAATCTGTTCCATATGTATGTTATGGCAACTGTTTGTACATTGAGTCAAAAATAGCTAATGTCACAGGCATTTCAGGAGTTAATAGTAAAGGTTCAGTAGAGTATAAATCCTTCTGTTATGAAGTAAATTCAATGTTCATTCCAAACGTTCCTGTCATAGCAACTCATTTAGGTAAATGGGTTTGCATTAGTCCTCATAATTTGAAAGACATGCAATTCAGACTCGTTGACTTTCAAGGAGAGCCTGTAGAACTGAAGGCACCAGTGCGAATGACTGTTGAAGTTGACTTTTTAGAAAATATTAAATGCAACAGCTTACAAGAGAACTCAGAGCTAAAAATATAAAGTATGAATGTTATGTATTAGGTCATGAACTTTGGTTGTTGCTGTTTGATGAAACAAATGAGTTAGTTATGTCAGTCAAGAGAACAGAAAAATATTGTGTTAGTGAAAACTGCACCAAGTCAATAAGATTAGGTTTGCATTATGAAGATGAGTTCGATACTGTTGAAGAAGTTTTGGATAGATATTACAAATTGCTAACTTGAAATTTTTTGACTGACGGCGCAAAGCGCCAAGACCGAAGGTCCTGACTGCTTTAATTTACTAAAACATATTTCAAGCAAAGTTTATATTCTGTTGAAAGTTTTGTATATTCATTCGAATATTTATACTTAAACTCAACTCCTGTAGTTCCTGGTGTTTCAATGATGCGGATGTTACCTATTTTCATGAATAGTGGAGTTTGACCACAGCATTCGATTTCAGGGTCGAGATAGTCAATGACACATTGTTTCCCTGTTATTCGTGAGATAACATTTTCAAGGTCCTCCTTTGTTAGAATTATTTGGTTCTTGCTTATAAGATTTGTCAAAAGCTTCTTATCGTCTTTGAGTAAAATTGTTTGGTATAACTGAAGAAGGTAATGGTCTACGTTATCTGAAGGATTTGTTTGAACATTTGTGTAAGGGTTGTCGTTGGCTTCTCTTGAAAGAATTTGGTCCAGTGGTGGATACTCTAACTTAACATCTGATGTAGCGTTAGCGTTTGAAGCTGTGTTTAAATTCACCGACTTAAGTTCTGGTTCTTTTTCTTTCAAACACCGAACTATAGTTCTTTATGACAATATTGTTTGTTGTTCGTGAGTCAACATTTGATGTTGGTTCAATTGGAACATTAACGGCACCAGCTAAGATGGACTTACTTCTCATTTCATATAGAATAAAAACCTTTTATATGTATGAAATGAACAATATACTCGACAAGAGTTTGAATGTAAAGCTAACGAATGAAAATATTGTTGAATTCACTGAGACAGGTGCTGTGTATAAAGATGTAGAACTACTGAACAAAAGAGCTAAGGGAAGAAGCAGGAACATGAACAAAGGGTGGAAGCCTATAAAAATTTATGTCAATGATGGCTCAGGAGGTTCAAACATAAAGTATGCAGAAAGTTATAGAGTTTATGCTCTCAAAGGTGAAAAGCCTTCATTTAAGAACAGCTATTCTAACGCATATCCTCAAAAGCTAACGGATGGGGAAGTGGATGATATGAATGACAGCAAAAATATTAACAGAAATGGCGACAGAGATGCATGGAATTTGTTTACCATCAGTCAATTGAAGGTTAAACTTTAAAACAATGTTGGTCGTTCCCATGGAATATTTTTGACTTTAATGGTATTAGTCATGATATGAATCTCAAGGTATGAACGAGGAGAGATGAGAGACTTATATGCTTCCCAAATTTCTTCAAAAGGTAATGTTATACCTGATTGTTTCCAAATGAGTTCAATATCATAACGTGAGAAACCTTGAAAGATAACGAAGTCAGTTATGAGACGTTTTATGTTTAAAGCTAAAAACCTCCATGTTTGCATAAGTATTGCTACAGTTAAATGTAATGTCTGACTTTAGTAATGATGTTAGCTAATGGTGAGTCTGGTTTTGACACTAAACCTTTTCCGGCGAAGTCGTCACAAACGAGCAGAGTGTTTGAAGGATATTTTTTGAAGGGGTATTTTGAAAGTTTTGATAGAATGTAGTTTGTCAGTCGTTTCATATCGTAAACTCCTGAGTACTGACGTAAGTGGTGTTTGTCAATAATTCTTTCCATCTCCTCAGAAGTCTTTTGCATTCCTGACTGTATGAACTCTACGATGGCATAATATTTCCTCTTACATCGAATGTAACGTTGAAGAAATTCAATGAGTTCACTGTCTGGAACTTTAACGACAGAGACTTGAACTTTTGACATAAATGTTTTCGCTGTTGAATCCATAGAGTCTGAAGTTGCTGATATAATGATTTGGTCATAGTAAGAGTCGTTTCCTAAACACTCTGTTATGAGTATATGACGAATTAAATTAAATGTCTTACCTGAACCCATCTTTCCACAATAGAAATAAACACCATTTGAACAGAACTCATAGTCCTTACTGAAAGGAAGAATGAGAGAACTGTTGAGCTTTTCACTGCTTTCATTCATGTCTTCATCTACGTCATGTATTAAATGCTTCATTTTATCTCCATTAAAAATACAAGTCAGAAATATTCAGAACATAGCACCGAGTCTAACTGACAAGAGTATAAAGATATACTATGAACACGTTATGATGAAACCAACCAAAATTCAAGAAAGTCAGTATACTTATGAATATCCAAGACACTGGGTAGAGTATGTAGGAGGTGAGAAAGCTATTGAAATCAGACAGGTTCGAAGTATTCCAGCAGGAAGAACAATATTATTGAAGAACTTTAATGTTTTGAGATATAATGATGAAACAAAGAAGCAAGATAGTTTCCCTGTTGCTGTGTATGTGAACTTAGATACAGGAGATGACATGAAAGTTTTTAATACAAAGCTTCAAACGGTAGTGAGAGAACAACTGACTGTGGAAGGACATCCATTACCTTCAGAAGTTACCATAGCATATAATTTTGAAACAAACTCAATAGATTTTAAAGTCATCTCTGCAAAGAAGTCAGGATTTACATTTAATGAAGCAGATGTATATTCGAATGAAAACTTCAATGCTATTGCATGGTTAGATAATGACGATTGCTTTAAGAAAATCTTTAAATTCAGTGACTCAAAGATGTCAATAGATGACCTTCGTGGAATGTTACCATCGACGTTTACAGTAGAAGGTTCAGCAGGATTGCTTACAAGATTGTCAATTGGTGGTATTTGGTCTCGTGAAAACATTGTTATAAAATCCAGTATAAGTGAATTTGCTGAAGAATCTATATTATGTCTTTCAAACTACATGTATTCGCCGCCGAAGCATTATAGTATAACAAACTTTGTCAGTAAGTTTAACATAAGACTTGTCGAACCTTCTTCAATGAAAGATGTTGTGCTACCTAAAGATGGAAAGGATGGACTCATTATTGAGATGATTTTAATAGCATATTAAATGAGCTTGTTCTTGAAGGTCATTCATGATGAAATAACTGTTGTAGAAGATGTTAGCAATTGTTCAGACATTTTGAAGCGTATAGATGATATAAGAAAGAAGTTAGATAGACCGCAAAGCGGTGAGGGCGAAGCCCGTGAGAACGCTTATGTTTCATTGACTTTCTCCTGTTGCATGCTAAGATCAGTCATAATGTAAACCTCTCAATTTTATTGTCGTGGGAAGTATCTCAATTCCTTCAAAAAAATTGAAAAACTATTTAATTTTAAAAATATAATACTTTTAATTAGTTAATTAATTGGAGATATTTTTAAAAAATCACTTTTGATAATACTTTTGAGAACTTTAATTAAAAAAATATATTCAAAAATATCCAGGATATCAAGAGGGAATTGTTCCTTATGAGGTATATAGTTATGATGTATACCTCATAAGGAACAATTCCCTCCTTAAAACGAGAAAACTTGTTCGAAATTGTTTATCATTTCGAACAAGTTTTCTCGTTTTTAATAACAAACTAAAGGCTATGAGGCACTGATTATATATTAGTGCCTCACAGCCTTTAGTTTCTAATAGATAGCTGGGAAACTTTCTCCAAATGATAAGTTATTCAGAGAAAGTTTCCCAGCTATCAAGAGGGAATTGTTCCTTATGAGGTATATAGTTATGATGTATACCTCATAAGGAACAATTCCCTCCTTAAAATCGTAGACATTTTTATACTTATTAATCAACCATTCAAAATCATATTCCTCTGAAAAGTTATTTTATTAAAAATTTAGAATTTTAATAAATATAGAGTTTGAATTTCATACAATACCTATATATTTTCAATAATGGAATTTGAAAACCATTCTCAAAAGTTCTCAGAAAACTTTTTTTTCATTAATTTTAAGAAATCTGAGTATTAAATTAAGTGATCAATTCGTTTGACACTACTTTAATTTTTAAATTCAAAAAATTATATGTGCTTCTTAAAATGACTCAAAAAAATTTTATTATAAAATAATATATAATATTAAAAATCCCACAACATTTTTTTACTTTACATAATCGTACTTCCTCGACGATTAATTTTCACTCAATTTCTATCGTTGACCGAACTTAGCATGCAACACTCCAGTAACGAGAACTTTTATGAGATAATATTGAAGAGAGATGATTTTAATATGGTGTAAATGGTAGCTTGGGCAGCTTTAGGCGCAATGGGAACAAAAGCATTAGCATTTGGAGCAAAAGCACTTGGAGCTTATGACGCAGTAAATAAAATGAGTGGAGGAAGAGTTTCAAAGACATTAGATGCAAATAAAGGAAAGATTGGAGGCTGGGTTGCAAAGAAGTTAAGATTAAATAAAATAGGGCTCATAAATAAAGCATCCAATTTGGTTGCGACTGAGTCAGAAAATGCTTTAGGAAAGGACGATGAGTTTGCAAAACACGCAAAAGACTTTAATGACCAGATGAAAGGTGAAACAATGCATTTAAATAGAGTCGATGGAACTAAAGAAAATGTTTCTTCTCCACCAGCGGTTTATCCATACGGACCTTATGGAATGTATGGAAACCCTTATGAACGACCATTTGACCCATTGACTGGTGGAAGTAATTGGTATCATTATGGACGAAGAAGAAAGACAGTCAAGTTGGAGACAGACGTGAAGAAAGCAACTAAAAAGAAACCAAGGAAGAGAGTTATAAAGCAATGAATTCAACAGGGTGAAAAAAGAGGTGAGATCTCACCGCTTCACCTAAATTTATTTTTGTGCTATGTTTTCATACGCGTGAGGGTGGTGATATCATTAATTTTTAAGTTTATTTTTTATTTTATTTTTATATAAATGACGAAAACTATTGAGATAACAAACTACAACGGTCATGAGTTCAAGAATTTGTTCTTCGTTCCTCGTGAAAATACATTCTATCAGATACGAGGGAGAAAGGGTAAAGTTAGTTTGAGCGTTTATGAAGGAATGAAGAATGGAAAGTTTATACAAGCATACGATACAAACGGTAAACGTGTTTCATTAGCTTTGTCAAAACTTACTAACATTTATTTTGACAGTGACTTTGACTCTGACGATTGGAGCGACAGCAGCGATACTGAAGAATATGAAGTATTGTGTGAAGCACAGCAATGGGAGGAGTTGCAATACTTTTGTAAGTGAGAACGTTTATTTTTACAGTAGTGAAGTCGTTTGTGAAAACGTTAGTGAGGTGAAGTGGTTGGCGGCTTTGTAAATATTTAAGGTTAAGTTAGTGTTGTCGTTTGTGTTGTAAAATATACGTTAATGGTTTTGTAAAGTGTCAAATTCACATATAATGGGTAAGGAGGCGCGCAGTGACACAGTACACATGATATGTATACTAACTATTGTAATGGATATCATAAATAAAATTGGTTTAAATATCTCATACCGAAATGGCTCACCAAAAAGGTGACATTTTTGGCGCCAATAATTTGATTTTTCTGATTCTTTCTATTTAGATATATTTATTTAATATTCATATTCCTTTATATTGCCTCATATTATTTCCCATTTTTAATCATATTATACAAATCTTTAATAATTTTTAATGTTTTGAGCTTCAAAATCTTGTTCTAACTATTTTCATTCATATATCCTAGAAAAATTAAAAAGTTTTTTAGAAATAAAAATGTTTGTATGTAAAGTATTGAAAATATTCTAGATGAGAAGACATTCTCCAGAAGAGATTGATATTGATTGGCTTTGTGAAGCCATCACAAAATCAAATAATGGAGTTAAGTTAACTGATATTTGCGCGAAAGCTAAAATAAATCATGAAGGCAGAGTTATATATAATCATACTATCTTAAAGTATTCCTAGAAATTTCCAAAATTAACCGAAATATAACTGGACAGAATTACTATTTTCGAGATAAAATTCATATGGAAATACTAATTCATAACGCTTTATGTTATATAAAATTTAATTTATAAAAATTTCAAAATAAATCAAATTTAACACAATGAATATAACTGCAATCGAGGTTTTTGACGATTGATTCTTACGAGAAGTTTTCCAAACTTTGAGTTAATGTCAAGACATTAACTCAAAGTTTGGAAGTCTAATAAGGGGAATTGTAGGCTATGAGGTACTGATTATATATCAGTGCCTCATAGCCTGCAATTCCCATTAGAAATCGGAGAAACTTTGTCCGCATAACTTATGATGCGGACAAAGTTTCTCCCATTTCTACTTAGAATGAAAGGGCAAGAGGTATATAGGTACACTATATATCTCTTGCCCTTTCCTTCTTACCTAAAGACTTCCAATCTTATTTTTTTTCCAATTTTTCCCCTAAATTTAAATCTTATATAATATAAATAAAATGCATAATATCAATCACAAAAATTAATGTTTATTTTTTTAATTAAAATTGCCGCACAATTTAAGGTTTTCTGTCACTTTTTTGTTAGCCATTTCGGTACGAAACATAAAATTGGTTTAAAAATTGGTGAGGACTTTGTCAAATGGAGACCCTATATTCGGTGGGACGAAAGTGAAAAATCTACCGAATATCCCGGTATGCTTGGAGCTTTGGACGCTACAGTACAAGAAATTGGAAGAGCAAAAGATCAAAATTTATATTACTCTGGAAAACATAAAATGTGTTGTGTCAAAGTTCAATGTTTTGTCAGTCCCAAAGGAAGATTACTTCACTTTTCGAAACCAATCCGTGGAAAAAGACATGATTTTAGATTATTTAAAAAAACAAAAAATTTCATTTCTATCTTAAAAGCAGAAAAAGAAAGAATGAATGCAGAAATTGAGACAGAGCCATGCTTATTAGCAGATTCAGGATATCAAGGTATTAATGATATAATACCATGGGCAAAAATTCCTTTTAAACGTCAAAGGAATACAGAATTAACAGATGATCAGAAGGAATACAACCGAAAACTCTCCAGTAATCGAATCATTGTCGAGAATTATTTTTCTCGACTCAAACAATACTGGAGAGTGATTGGTGGTAAATGGCCGTTGAAAATCAAGGGTGATCTAACATTTTATCATCACACCTTTGCAATGTGTGCAGGCCTTACAAATAAACTTTTGTGCCGACGTCCATTACGTAGAGGTGCTGAAAGATGGGATCTTTTAGATCTTGATAGCATGGATGAAAATAGCGAGGCATATAACTATCAAGAATCAGTTTCTGAAGATGACAGTGAAAATTCTTATTAATAAAAAATTATATTTATTCTTATTAATAAAAATTATTTTATTCATATATTAAAATATATAAAATTAAATTTGATTTAGAATTGCCACTCTTGGTGTGTCACTTTTATAACCGTCACATCATATATATCACTTTTATAACCGTTATATCATAAATATTAGCTTGTTACATAATTCCCTTTCCATAAATATGATAACATTCATTTAATTGTTGATTGTTGATTGTTAATTGTTGATTGATATTGATTAGTTACATTATTCACTTTCCATTAATATGATAACATTCATTTAATTGTTGATTGTTGATTGTTATTGATTAGTTACATTATTCACTTTCCATAAATATAATAACATTCATTTAATTGTTAATTGTTGATTGTTATTGATTAGTTACATTATTCACTTTCCATAAATATAATAACATTCATTTAATTGTTAATTGTTGATTATTGATTGTTATTAGTTAGTTCCATATTTATATATAACAAAACAAAGTAATTTTTTAAAAAAATCATATGCTCAGATACCTCTTATATATGATTAAAATATTGGCAAATACCTAACAGCATATATCCAAGAGGATTTTAGTTTTTTAATTTTTTTAAAAAAATGTCACTTTTTACCTTATTAATTTCAATGAAAATATCACACATATGGTTTTATGATAGATAAGCATTATATTCCCACTCATTATATTCGTAAATTTTGAGTTTTATCCTTCGCTTTTAAGATCATTGAATTTGATTTTTATATAAAATAGTTATATATTAGAAAATAATATGAGTTTATGTGATATTATTTTTCAGAAGATTTTGTGTTCTTCTTCAAAATTTTATTTTTTTATTAAAAAGAATCTTTACAAAATATACATTTACTTAAATTAATATTTAAAAACGTGCTCTATCAAAAGTTCCAAAAATTCAATATTTTAGCTTTTCTGAGGTGTCACTTTTGATGAATTTCTGTTTACAACAATAATATAAATAAGTGTAATGATTTATAATATTTTAAAATGCTTATTATTGATCATTGTTATTGAATTTAATTGCGACCTTTTCGCTTAATGAGGTCCAAAATCATGGTTCCGATTTGTTCTATGTTCGCGATTGATAAAGAAAATCGCGTTTAATTTTGATCACAATTTTCCATAAAAATCGCAATTTTTTTGAAAAATCGCGACTACAATAAAATCGCAATTCATTAAAAAACGCGATTTTAAAAAAGTCGCGATTTTTCTAAAAAATCGCGATTTATATATTTAAATCGTGATTAAAAAAAGTGGTTGCGGTTTTCCCTATTCTTATTTTTGAATGTTTTGTTTCTTAACTTTTTTTGTAAGATCTGATTTAGATCCAAATGCTTTGGAGATACGACCGAATACAACGTCGTATTTACTACCATCATCTACAAAAAAGATTCAAGATTTCGCATTTGTAAATTCAACATCAACATTAGTAAGCGTTAGCTTCAGTAAATGCACCGAATTGAGTACAATTGGTAAGGGTTGTTTCGAAAATTGTACAAAACTCAAGTCTATCGATCTTTCTCCCTGTAAAGAATTAAATAGAATCGGAGACAGAGCATTTTACAACTGTTCTTCACTATCAACATTCATATTTCCAAATGAGTGTTCTATAAAGGTTATTGGATCCAGCTGTTTCGTTTTTGTTGCTTTGGAAAGTATCCAAATTCCAGCTTCTATCGTTTTACTGCAGTCAAATCCAGATGATTACGGGTTATTTGCTTCATCCAGCCTGAAAAACATTACATTTGCACCGAAATCTTCATTAAATACTTTAAATCCAAAATTATTTTCTCATTCTTCAATCTCGTCAATCATTTTACCATCATCAATACAGACAATATCTCCACTAGCTTTCGCATTTTGCAACAATTTGCAAGAAATAGAATTCGAAAACGACAATAATCCAACATTTACAATTTTTGAAGGCTGTATCTACTCAAGGAACTGCGAATACTTCGTTTACGTACCATCAGCATTCACAGGAAACATAACTTTGCACAATTCAACGAAAGAAATCGATTCATACTCATTTTCTTTCTCAAAAATATCGAAAGTACATTTATCTGACTCGGTAGAAACGATCAAATCTTACGCGTTTTACCAATCATCGATAACTCACATCTCTTTCGGTTATAATATTGAATCTATTGAAGAATACGCGTTTGCTGACTGCCAGAAGCTGAATTCGATGACACTTCCATCCATAATAACTGTTATATCGGAAGGATTGTTCATGAACTGCTCAAAAATCGTAAATATAAATTTCGGAAATATTATTGAGATCAAAAGCCATGCATTTTACAATTGCTGGTCACTAGTCCATATATCACCGCTAACCCACGTCACAGAAATCGGAAAGAACGCGTTTGCGCTGACAAATTTCAGATCAATTGTAATTCCAAAGGATTTGACACAGTGGAACAACATTTTGTGGGGATCAAAGGTCGCAACAATAAATGTGGCACAGGGAAATTCACAATTTATCGTTCAAAACAAAATGTTGTTTTCATATGACTTAGAAATACTTTATTTCGTGCCAATAACTCAGAATTCCACAATCACACTACCAGAGAATCTCAAAGAAATCGCAGAAAGAGCTTTCTACGGTTCAAACCTCAAATTTATTTATTTTCCAGATTCTCTGAAAAAGATTGGAGCCTACGCGTTCTACATGTGCGAGCATCTAGTAAATGTAAAGCTCCCTCTCGCTGTAAGGACAATTCACCAGGGAACGTTTTCTGTTTGCGGTAATTTGAAATCCGTAACTTTTTCAGATGAAATCGATGAAATTGATGAAGAAGCGTTTTGGAGATGCAAGTCTTTGATGTTTGTGACATTCCCTGACTCTCTGAGACTCATTAAATCAAATTCTTTCGGTAAATGCCAAAATTTGAAGTATTTGAGGTTTATTGGCAATCCTGTGCTCGAAGAAGATGCTTTTTCAGGTTGTCCGAATATATCATGCATACTTTGGGAGTCTGCAACAGTACAAACTATGAAAAATGCAGGATTTAGTGAAAAATTACTGAATCAATGCACTTTAGAGTCAATTAAAGAAGACGTTGATAGTAGGCCGCCAACTTCAGATGGTATTGTCGATTCCTACATCACAAAAATCACTCCACAGACTTTCAAAACTTCGAAAAATGTTTTAGCAATTCTATCGTTCGAAACTGAAAGTCAATTAATCGAAATTGAGAGCTTCTCTTTCAAAGAGTTCACAAAATTGAGTGTTGTAGACTTCAGAAATTGTAAAAGTCTGAAAAAACTTGGAGAATCAGCGTTTTATGGCTGCAAGCAGTTATCAACTGTTATGTTTCCAGTCAAAGCAGACATAAAACTCATTGGAGCATCATGTTTCGCTTACACAGACATAGAAAAAATAACTTTGACAAATTCGATCAATGGAGTCGAAGGAAACATTACTTCTCCAGGTATATTCGAAGGATGTGAGCGACTGATATCAGTAGCCACAGCGAAATCGAATTTAAACCAAATTTGTCACAGAATGTTCGCAAATACAAAGATTACGAAGTTATTTATATCATCAGGCATCAAGATGATAGAAGGAAGTGCATTCCTTGGCTGTGACAGTCTCCAAGAATTCGAAATTGCAAATAATAACAGAAATTTCCAATTAATCAAAGGATCTTTGTATTACAGAGGTGATGGAAAGTTTGCTATCATCTATGCATCCAAGGAATACACTGAAAAGTTCATTTGTCTCCCTGCAATTTCGGAAATTTCAAGTGGAGCCTTTGCTTCGTGTCTTTTCAGTTCTATTGAACTCCCAGCTAATCTCAATAAGATAGGACACTTTGCTTTCTCTCATTGCTCCAATTTGACCTACATTGACGTTCCAAACACCGTAACTTCCTTTGGAGACGGAGTTTTCGAGTTTTGCACTAGTCTAGAGAATATTAAGATCAATCTAAACATTTCTAGAATACCTAGAATGTTCTTTATGAACTGTATCAAGTTAGAATCTTTTGTTGTTCAATATGAAGTCAAAGTAATTGAAACAAAAGCGTTCTATAACTGTTCAAACTTAACTGTTCTCACTGGACTCCTCCGTGTCCAGGAAATCCAAAATTTCGCTTTCACTTTTTCAGGAATTGTCACTTTTTATATTTCACCTGAACTGAAATTCATAGGAAAAGATGTTTTCAGGGACTGTGAAGATCTTGAAGAATTCTCCATCAGTTTCGGTAACATTTATTTCACTTTCTTCTGTGGAGGATTATATTCTTATGATTTCAGTACTTTGATAACGACAACTGCAGGAAATATCAACACATTTGTTGTACGAGATGGATGCACGAAGATTGGAGAGAGTAGCTTCAGAGGAAAAAGAATTAGAGAGGTTATTATTCCAAAATCAGTTTCAAGCATTGGAGATTTCGCTTTCGCCAACTGCTTCAACTTACTCAAGGTACAAATAGAGAATAGCGTCAGTTCTATTGGAAATTATGCGTTCTTTAACTGCTCATCTTTGAAAGTTGCCAATTTTCCATCAGGAATAGAAATCTTTGGTGTCAGATGCTTTGCAAATTGTCTGAAACTAAGGAAGGTCGTGATTTCTGATGGAGCAAAAGTTATTGGAGCGGAAGCGTTCAGAAAATGCAGAAAACTGAAGACTCTTTCTATTTCTGACTCTGTAGAAGTAATAGGAAAGATGGCTTTCGCAAATACAGCCATTAAATGCGATGTAGATTGGCCAAAGAATTTAAGAGGTTCAATTGTAGATGCAGGACTTAGCGAGGACTGCATCAGGAGATGTAGTGAATTGTAATCACTATATAAATTATATTAATTTTTGTTTTTTATAGTAAATATATAGAATTTAGATAAAGCTTTTTAAAATAACTTAATATTTTAACGATTTCACACAATGTATCTAATTACATGCACATGTACAAACAATTAAGACTTTAAAAGAATATTCAACATCTATGAAATTATTGATCAAATATATTTCCATAATAAAACAAAATTTTTGATATAAATTTTGACTATCATTTGCATTTAATTAGTAAAAGAATGCTGATTTCATGTCTAATCAAGAAATTATTTTAGAAATAAAATGAGATATTTTTTTATTTCTTCTGAAACATATAAGAAATAACAAATACAACGTCAGGCCCATGAATTTCTAGTTAATTCAATATGATCTGAATCATATTTAGTTAGTTAACTTAAAAAAAGAATAATATTGTATTTTTTTATTTAACCACGATCAAAATAATGCCTAATAATATATAAAACTATCAAATATAAAAACCAACATCTAATACAAATCTAACAAAAAACATAGAAAGACATAAAAAAATCAGAAAAAATCAAAAATTATCAGTGTTTCTTGTGAGTCTCACTATAGATTCTGTCTATATTGAAGTCTTGCACATCCCTTCCTCTCAACACGTCGTCTGTCATTCTCTGGAGTATTTCTATGTCGTTTTGTCTGTTCAACATCTTTGGCCTTTTGACATCGAGTGGTCCGTTCCTTTCCATCGCAAGCTGGCTGAGCATTTCCTTCTTGTGCTCGAACTTCTTGATCAGAACATCCCTCTTGATCGCGTAGTGCTCCTTCAGCTTCTTGTCGGCGGCCTCATAATCAGCTTGAAGCTGTTTCTCGCTGATAAGAGACTCCTTCTCTTCCTGTATCTTGATGTCATGCTGTATACGCTCGAACTCTGCTTGGCGGCGCTGTCTGAGAAGTTTTCGAGCCTGTGAGCGCATTTCAAGGAGATCTGCTGATGGCCTTGAGTATTTTGCGACCACTTCTGGGCTCTGCCACTTCTTGTCGAGCTCTGTAGCGGCTTCGTTGTATTCTTTGTCGATTTCATTAAGAAGACGGTCAAGATGCATGTCGAGAGAAGTAGAAGTTGTAGGAGCTGATGATTGGCAAAATTCGCTTGATACTGAGGATGCGTTTGGAGAGAGATTCTTATGAGAGTTCTGAGTTTGTTTTGGAGTTGATCTGGATGAAGTTGTTTTCTGGCTGGCTCTTGGAGTGCTCTTCATTTCGGCTGGAGTCTCAAGTTCAGGAAGCTGCTTCTGTTTGCCAGCGGACTTGCATTTCGGACGAGATGAAGTCTTTGTAGAAGGAGGAGTAAGTTTCTTGGCTGGAGACTGCGGGAGTTCTTCAAGCAAGCTTTGTAAGTAATCGAGTTCTTCGTGGAAGTTGTTTTTCTGGCAAAGTTTGATGTACTTCTTAAGAGCAACTCTTACGACTCCGCAGTTCTTGAGTGTTGGTAATTCTCCTGTAAGGATTGTTTGGTAGACTGGAGATTCTTCCGGTTCTGTGACAATTGAGTTAAGATTTCCGAAAAGTCCGCTTTCTATCTCTTCTTCAGCCAGGATTTCTTCTTCTTCCATTCCTTCGTTGTTGTCTTCCTCGTTTTCGCAAAGTTCGTCCATTTCGTCAATTTCCTGAAGATTTGAAGAAGTTCCTTTATCTTCCTCAACGTTTGATTTTGGAAGATTAGTGCCAAAAGAGTCTGTATTAACTGGGGACTTCGAAACGTTATCACCTGGGATAATCAAATGCATTTGTTCCATTGAAGCAGAGGCCTCACCAATTTTCATGCCATCGCTACCGCTACGTTTCCTACGGCTTGGTGGAGGAAGTAACGTTCCGGATTTAGTCATTTCTGGTTCTTCCTCGATTATGTCTGCTGCAGCGATTGGAGAATTGGCATTTAAGTCCGTATTCATGTAGAATTTTGTAAGTGATGTAGTAGTATATCCATTTCTTGTTAATGCCTGGCTTTGACCGTTAATAACTGCATGAGATTTCGCACGAACTAATGGAATTAAATTCTGTGGAGGTTCGTAACCGATAGCTGCCCATCTGTTGGCATTCTTTGCCTGGAGGTGCTTAACAATTTTAACCTGTGCATCATCTTCCTCTTCTTCGTCTTCTTCCTCCTCCTGCTCAACAATTGGCTCTGGTTCCATTGGTTCCTCTTCAATAACAGTATGAAGATCGGCAAGAGAGTCAGCGCCCTTTGGAATGATTTGACCATGGAGTGAAACGAAAGATGGCTGACGAACACCTAATTCGATTGGTTCGTTATCACCTGTATCACTTGAGTGGCCATCAAAGACAACGACAGGATCTGCATCCTGCTGAACAGATTCTTTTGGAACGGAGCTGTCTCCTGTCTTTGTGACAACTGTTCCATGAAAAGAACTGCTTGAGCTTTGCCTATATCCTAAGCCGATTGAATTATCTGGTGTATGTGATTTCTTCCTGTTGGAAATATACTTTTGGGTTAATGAACTATCATTTTTCTTTGCTTCGTTAAAATGTTCATCTAATATTGTTGTCTCTTGCGAATTCTTAGCAAGGAGGGCTGCCATTGGATCCAATTCATCAAGAGCCGGACCCTTTTTATTGCTCATTTTATATGAAGACGGTTTTATAATTTTTTTTTTCTTGACAATTAATAATAATTTACATTTAAAAAATTTACATGACAAAATAATAAATTTTATTATCTTCTACCTTCAATCCTTCTCATGTTAATAAAGTTCAATCCTGATATAGATCCATTATATAACTACGTTCTTGTCTATGTTGATAAAGATAATAATCATAAAACCCATTATAAGTATTTCATTATTCATTAACATCTTGATCATCTTTGAAAGGATGTAATGACTTGACACGGTTTCTTTTGTAGAAAAGATTACATTTATAAGTATAATGTTTATTAAAATTAAATTTTTAGAAGATGAAATACCAAGTCTGTAACATCTTCAGTGTTTTGTGATAAAGCATCAGGAATTCCGAAATAATTTGTCGCTAATCTTGCAATGTCATCCTTCCTGTCAATTTCTTTGAGGCAAGAAACAACATTTTTAAGTTGTTTTGGACATTTGATTGAAGAAACAATTTGTTCATATCTTGGAGTGTCCACAAACACATCTACTTCTTTCCTTTCTATTATCTGTTCGATTGCTGATGCAGGCAAATCTTCATTACTACTAATCATCTGTGTCGCTTTCTTAACAACATTTTCCTTGTTTGAAGCTAAGCTATATCCAAAATCTTTTGTTTTCTCAAGTAAAATCATTTCATTTTCTTCGTCTAATATCTCAGACCACAGTTTGGCATTATTTCTCAGTGAATCATCTTTCATCTTGAAAGAGGTTAATGCTATGTCAAGTGCAATATCCTTCTTCAAAATATTCCTTTTCTTTAGCTGCTGCAATAGAGAAATCAATAAGTTAAAATTCAAACCCAATTCTGGCCAATTCCCAATTAATTCTTTAGCAGAATAATCGAAATTGAATTCACCATAATTGGATGAAACAAAGCCACAACAAAATCTATCTATTAACTCATCTGTTAAATCAATATTTTCTGATAAATTATTGACTGCATCATAAACTTCTTTGCTTGTTTTTAGCTTCGAAATGAAACCAAAATAAAGTTCATTTCTTTCTTTAGAACTAATCAATCGCTTTGCTTCAAGAGATTTAACTGTTTTTTCAAATTGTTCTAAATCATGAATATTTGAGACAATAACTGGCAATTGTTGAGTTAATTTTGACTTTGCAAAATTGCAGGCAGCAGAGTTTTCAGTATCAACAATAAACTTCATAAGATTTGCATCATTAACATCATTAATTCTTAGATATTTTTCTTTGCACTCAATAAACTTTCCGAGGTTCATTGGAGAACATGATTTAATGCAATCATCAATAATGGAAACCTTTTTATCAGAGTCATTCCAATTTTCATTAGAAAGATATGAGATTAAAGTTGACTCATTGATACATGCATTAATAAATTCTACACCGAAATCAATATCATTCAATTCAACTGCCTTATTTGCAAAATAATCATTAACCATAATAATATCAATATCATTTAACTTCTTGCAAATCGACTTTGCTTTTGAATTGTTTTCTCGTAAGTTTTGAGAATTAGTTTTTCTATCTAAAATATTCAAGAGCAAATTCGTTTTATCTTGTGTTGCATCAATGATTGATGGCGAAATTGTACTGTCAAGTTCACTAAATGCATCATAAATACCAATTCTGTTGAAGATCTTCTTAACTTTTTGTGGTTGTATATCTGCTGGAATCATTCCCAAAATTAAAACTGTATTACTCAAATATTCATCAGAAAGTGAGCATGATTTTGCATTTCTAATCAACTTATCACAATATTCTAAACATATATCTATTTCATTATCAGTAATTACTATTCTTTCATACTCTTTCAAATAAAGCATTGCTCGAAATGTCAAAGAATTCAAATCTATGTGGAATCTTTTTGCTGATTTAGGGAAAATTGACCAATTACTGAGTGATAAATATTTTGAATTTAGGAGAGATTCTCCTATAGATAAGATTAATTCTGGAGTTATTTGATTATATGTTTTTGGTTTTGAAATAAGATTATTCAATTTTAATAATCTCAAGATATCTTTTGTTGCTTCATTTAGGAAATATAATGATTGTTCAATCGCAGCTATATTTTGGTCATCAAGCAGAATCGTAGAGTTATTAATAAGTTTCTCTGCTAAACTTGATTTTGTCGGAAACATTTCTAGAATTTGAGCAACATATTTAATTCTTTCTTTTGTTGAAGATGCTTTAAAAATCTTCGACGAATCAGATAGGATATTTGATAATAAATTGCTTAAAATCTCAATATTGTAATTAATGCAATGCCTTTCGATAATTTCTTTCGCTTCTAATCCATTTGAACAACCAGAAATATAAATATACAACTTCTCTTCATCAGTCATATTAAGGAAATCAGAAAAAGATATTTTCCTAACAGCACCAAAGTCTGTTGCATTGCAAACAAATTCATCAAACGAAAGTGATGACTGATATAGATCAGATAATTCTTTTGGAAATCTAGAAGCTCCAATCTTCAAGAATCTACATAAGATATCTGTTTGACCGATTTTTTCATCGATTTCAAAAGATTTCTTTTTGAAATATTCAACATTATTTGGCATCAAGCATTCATATTCTTCAGGTGGAATAAAAGGAGAAATATGATTGATAATGTCAATTTTCTCTTGTTCTGTAACTTCTGTTGATTCCTGAAAGATTATTGAAATGTCTTTGAACATTTGATTTTTAGAAAGTTTTTGGAGTGTTTCTCTCATGTCAGACCTTTTGAAGTCATTCCATTCAGTTTGCATAAATGATGTCCTTGGAAAATTCGTAAATATTCTTAGTCTTTCTCTAGTTTGTAACAATTTCAGATCATTTGGTTTGATTTTTAATCCTTCATTTATCATTGCTGCTTCAATATCACTGGAAATACTAGAGTTTTCGAGGATGAAATTGTAGACAAATTCTTTATCTTTGATTACTCTCAAATGTTCATCAATAATCCTTCTGTTTAATTCGTTCTTTTGCACAAAGAATTTATGAAAGATATCTGAATCAAAATTATAAATTTCTTGAAGTTTTGTGGCTTCATTCCACATTGAGTTTTCACAACTTCGGAGATAAAGATCATAATTATCAACTGGAGTAAACTTTATGATATCGAAATGAACATTTTGACCAACAACATTTTGCGGATCGAACAGTAAAAATCCTGATGGAATGTAACGAATTATAGAGTTTGGTTTTAGGTTCTTTGATAAGATTCTCTGTCCATTTGATGTGAAAAATGAAATTGTATTGTAGGTATTTAACGCTAGATAAAAATCATCTTTCCAAGGAATTACTTGCATTGAACTAGTGGCTTGATTGAATGTTGGCTTCATGAAGTTGTTCTCTTTTGATAAAATCGTGACTTTGTTATTATTATCCAAGATGTAAATCCTTGATCCATCGCTATTGCAAGATAAATCTTTGGTTGAGTCATATTTGATATCTGGATGTATGGTTTTATAATCATCAGTTATGATATTAATTTGTTTTGAAGAAAAGCAGATAATCTTATTGGAATATGAAATGTGAGTCCATTCATCAATATTAATAGAATTTATTTCAGGATTTTCTATAAAGATGATTTGCGCTTTTGTTATGCCTACAAGCTTGTCGTTGAAAAAAGCAATTCGAAGAATTTTATTTTGGTTTGGGATTGTCTTGATAATAGTAAGCTTATTGTCATAGAACACAATATACTTCTCAGATAAAATTGCTATTTCATCTCTGGTTGAAATATATGCAACATCAATAAATGTATCATTTAAATTAACATAAATCTGTCTGCTAGCAGACAAAAAATACTAAATAGATGTTTACCGATAAGTATAGCGCAATAAGTACAATTTTTGTTATGCGCAAATTTAAAAGCATCATTCCATGTAACTCTTGTTCCAGGAGTAAAAATACTCTTAATAATAGATGTTATTGATGATTCTGATGTAATGTCATATAAAGAGAAAGATCCAAAATCTTTCTTGAGAGGAGTCTCATCAAAATTTATGCTCACATTCATCAAAAATGAAGTAACAACTAAGTGAAATAGATATTCCCACATCAAAGTATACATTTAATCTTATTGATGCTAATGGATATAATAATATTCAGAGAATTAAATGTTGTAATTTCGAAATATTCATGTCTCTTAACTTATAATTGGTATCTCAGTGATTAAATTGACAAAATGTATTAAAAGCAAGAGTTATGTTTTAGTTATTCCAAAAATATCAAAAAAATAATTTTAGATTTTTTTTCTATTAATACAAACAAAACAATATTTTTATTTTTTAACATCATTTTGGTCCTTGTTTTCATGTTCCTGGTCGGAATACGAGTTATCAATTTCAGGATGAACAGAATCTTCGCTGTCAGAAGAGTTGTTATTTGTGGATTCCTTTGGAGGCGTCACAGTATCCTTTGGAGTACTTACAGCATTGGAAATTTGGAATTTTGGCATTTTATTGTCTGATTCAGTTTCAGAGTCCTTTGCGATGCTTATTACCTTCTCAGTCGAAGAAGTATCAGTTATCTTTGTTATTTCGTTGTTGTGGGATGTTTCCTTCGACTCAACTTTCACTTCCTGTTTCTTATCTTCGGAATAATCAGAAGTATCGTAAGAGAACTTGAATTCGGACGCGAGATACTTGTGGTGGTTCTTCTGAAGCTTGGACTTGACAATAAACCAAATTATGACGATCACAACAATGACAACAAGAATTGAAACGATAATTATGAAAACATTTCGTCCTAAATCAGCAATTTTATCAGATCCAATTGTAGATGTTGGGGATGGTGTCAGCGACATCGATCTCGACATGAAAATCGCTTGACATTGTCCGGATGAGTAATATGCGAATGTATAACCGTAGGAATAGTTCACAAATGTATGGACTTGAATGTATGGTCCGGGATCAATATCGAAATTCGACTCGAATAACTGACAATCGTTACTTAATTCTTTATTTATCGGAGCAGCGATCATACTGAAGCTATTTCGAACCATTACGCATCCTCTTATGATTGTGATGTTCCTGTATATGATTAGAGCGCGATCTGCGTTTGCTATCCAAGTACAAAGATTTTTCGTGAAAATGTTTCTGTAAAGAATCGCGTTATCGACAGTGAGGATGCCAGCAGATGATAGCGGTCTCGATTCGATTGTCATTTGAGTAATTTTGGCGTAAGGCAAATCGATCTCGATTCCGACGTTTGCCAGGATTGTATGGGTGTTTACGGATGAGTTAAACGATTCCAAAGCTAAAGTTTGCGTATACAATAAAAATTGAGTCGTTAATGGCATTCCACTAGGAGACTTCAAGAAACTGTTGTAAACAAGTGAAACATTGTAATAGCAATATGGATAGCATCTGATATACACTGCTCCTGCATGGATTTGTCCATTGTTTGTAATAGTTCCGGAATTAAAAATGCAGTTTTTAGTGAAATATATCCTGCCGCATGATTGCATGTCCGCTATGGCAGCTGTGAGTCCACCGTTTGGTTCGACATAGGAAAAATAACATTCTTGAATTGTCAGATCAGATTCAAAGGATGAGGATATTACGGATTGGGTAGTATTCGCAAACACAGAATTTTCTATTACAATTTTCTGTTTATATGTGAGAAATGAATCCTCAGTTACAACTCTAAAATTGTTTAAATGATCTGAGTTGAAGGGGCCATTGACTGGGTAATAAGCTTTATGCACAAAAGAATCTAAACGAAATCTATGAATGAGAAGAAAGTTCATGTTGCGCGGTGAAATTTCAAGTCATTCATGAGACTAAATTTTCTTCGTAATCATCCCTTATTCAATTTTCAATTATTCTGGGGTTTACTTAGAATATTGAACAAATTATCGGATGTTCAAAATAATTCACTGCGAGATTCATATGTAATTTCAGATATCTGAGAAAAATTCAAATCGGAGAACCGTTATTTGGACTTTACATTTTGTTGATCGAGAAAAAAATATAACGGATAATGTGTAAATTGTTGATAATTTAATTACCTTTGCAAATATCAAAACAATTCAAGAACCTTATTATAACCACACTCACTTTATTTTGTTTAAAATTATGATATTGGCATTCTACTATGCATATGACACTTATTTATATCGAAAATATTGTCCGATTCAATGGAAAATTAATTTTTTGATTTCGAATTCTCAATATAATTCCAAAATAGGCACAGATCTAGAAAGCAATATATGATGTTTTCCGAACAACAGTGGGTTAAGCTCAATTCAATTAGATCTGTATTACAAATGCAAACAATAAAAGGTAGACAGCTAAAAATAGTAAAGAAAAAGTATTAGTATAAGTTAAAAATTACACACAATCTATTTAATTTGTTCCATACACTAAAATATATATTAAAGCAACAATGAAAAAGATTCCGACTCCAAAGGCAATGATATTATCATAACTAAACCTTTGCAATCCCATGAAGAATGGCAGTCTTCCGCCATATGAAGTATTTACAATTTTATTCGCTTGATTTACGATTTTCATCACATTCGTCCAATCATTTATCATTTTCTGGTCATTACTCTTGAAATATGGGTTGATTAATTTCGAAATTTGATACAACTGTCCCCAATAAACGCAAGTCAACTTATCAAATGAATCAAACGCTTGCATTATGTTCTCAAATAACTGTGACTTAGTAAGGATCTCATTGGTAAGCAGTTTATTTGATTTGTAGCTTTCAATTAATTTCAAAAATGAATTATGGAGAAAAGTGTTGCATTTGAACTTGAAAAAGTCCGAAGAGAGTTTGTAGAAGATCGAATTCATGCTTTCTGAAGCAATTTTTCTATAATTTAGTACAGCAATCGCTAATGAACACACAGATTCAGAAATTTGAGTAAATATCTCTTGATTTGTAAGTATATCGATGAATTCTGCTAATCTGAGATCAATTAAATGAATAACTGTTTTCCATTGAGAAATACCAAAATGATAACTCGCTTCTTGAGCTAGATATCGTAAAAATTCGATTGTTTCTGCATCGGGTAATTTAACTGCATTATCAATTATCTGAGCGAGTCTGTTTTCGCGCATTAATGAAGTAATAATATTTGAATATAAAGAAGAATCGAATGATTTAATAATTATACTCTGCGCATTGTTCGATGCTGTTGAATTCTCGACTATTTTTTCGACAATCATGTCTAAAAATTTTATTGATTTTAGGAATGAAATTTCCTTGCCATTTACGAGGAGAAGAGTAAGGAAAACGTAACTTTCACCGATATCTAAGTTATTTACTAGTATCTGTATATATTCTTTTGTCTTAAATTTATCAAATAAATACGTTGAAAGTCCTGTGATGTTATTTATTATATCAAAATACGAATCTTGTGTTATATGACTCTGTTTATCTAGTGTAGTTGCGAAATTAAATAAATAATCGATAAGATTTGACTTATTTGCGAAAGTTTTGTAAGATTTAGCTTGGTTGAATATTAAAATTGATCTACAATTAGTCACTACTTGATGTTCTGTCTCCCTCAAATATAATGCGCTTTCAAAAACCAAATTCGACTGTGATATAATGTAATTAAGTAATTGTTCATCCCCGTTGTTCCAAAAGTAGAAAAAATGCAAGTTCAGAACGACCTCATCAAATGTATCGGAACCACCATTCATTTTTTCTCTGTATTCTACTAGTTCGTACGCAGATGGTCCCAAACTCATTTTTTTTTACAATCAGAATTTTTTTTTTCTTCAAACAACAGAGGAGTAGATTTTTATATCGTTTTGAGATTCGTATAACATTGTGTGAAGTCAAGGCTATGGACGATCTATCATTGCTAATAGAAACCTTGATGGTTGTTTTATAATTTGATATGTGAAATATCTTAGCCTTAAATTAGTTTTGCTGATCTAATTGAACTTGAGTAATAGTGTGTATGTGGCATGAACTTCACACATTCAAAGACTTCAACTCTGTTGTTGAAAATCTTATCATGGAAAAATGTAGTAAAGATCAGCGGCCATTTGGCTCATCACTATAGCACACATTGAAAAAAATTTGAGATATTCCTGAAATATCAACGAGATATCCAGTATTTTATGATCAAATTGAAATCCTTACTCTAACTGGAATAATACAAAAGAAAATATGCTTTGTTATTCAATAAAAATAATGTTTTTAATATAACATATAAATCAAATAATAAATTATGCATTTGGCTGGATATTGATTGCGAATGAGCCCTCAAATCCTTGCTTTTGTTTGTTGGAAAGGGAAACAAAATAAGTGATTCTATTTCCTTTGCCTTTCAAGTAGATTTCACCTCTCTCTTCGACTTCGAAATCTAAATCTTTAATTGCTTCTTTTGTATCCTGAGAAATTTGAACATTTCCAGGGATATCTGTGCTTTGAAGACGAGCAGCAACATTGATTGGATCACCAATGATATCGAATGTTGGTTTATCAGTTCCCAAAACACCGCCTAGCAATGGACCACCTGTGTTGCAACCAATTCTAACTTCAAGAGAAGCATTTAGTTTCATGTTGATTTCTTCCATTGCTTTGCTGCATGCAATGCAACATCTAACAGCATCTTCAGCGTGTTTAAGGCTTGGATCTTCTGGATCTTGGAACAAACCTGCTGCAGCCATGTAAACATCACCAATGAGCTTGATCTTTGTGATGCTTTCGTATTCAGCAACAATGTTATCAAATGTTGCGAAAACCAATGAAAGGTTTGCCATAATTTCTGTTGGTGTAAGAAGTGCTGCATATTCTGAGAATTTAACGATATCGATGAAGAAGATTGTAGCAGAAGGAATTGTGAAAGAAATATCCTTTTCACCTCTGTTCAATCTAACAACGATATCCTTTGGCAAAATCTGATATAACAACTTCTCTGATTTGGCCTTGGCTTCTTCTGCAGCTTGTCTCTTCTTTATTTCTTCGGTTTCATTTGTCAAAATGAAAACTATTGATGAGATATCTCCATCATCGTTATCTTTCATTCCAATCATTGTAATTGAGAATGGAATTAATTCACCAGAATCATCGTTCATTGAAATATGATCTTCCCAGACTGTTGAACCTTGTCCATTCATCATTAATTGAATCTGGCCTGTAATTTTGGCTTGATCTTGAGCACCAACGAAATTGGCAAATTCTTGACCTAACATTTGATCTGGAGTCAATCCAAGGTTATTTGTAACAGCTTGGTTAACAATTTCTACAACACTGTTTTCATTTGTAATAACAATGCATTCGCTTGCATCGATAACAATCTGCTTAGAAATAGGCATCGCCTCTGGTCCAGATGTCTTCTGATGTCTCTTGAAGAATCCAATCAACTCTGGAGTATCCACAATTGCTTGTGGTGACAAATAATGGAATAGCATCAATAACATCTTATAATTTTCATTAACTAATGCTCTGAATTCGAATGCCATGAAGAAACCTAAAATTGACATTACGCATCCTACAATTAATAAAACTGTTGTCTCTGCCATTCCAGTATCATAATAACATGTTATCAATGTTCTCAGTCTTGCATTTGTTCCCAAAACTCCTGGATAGAAGTGATCTTCCAAAATATGTAAAACGTTCATTGATACTTGGTTATTAATAGCGCCGCCATAGCTTTCTGTGTTTCTCAAAATGTCATCTACCATGTTATTGAAAATTGTAACTTGCTGATTGATGTTTGCACATGCGTACATGTCATGAACTGTCTTTGGATCTCTTCCAAGATCACAGACACTTTGTATTGTTGTTTTATCCAAAGCATCATCAAAGCCTAATGAACCTTCAACAATATCATTTCCATCCATCAACGATTTATGGATGTAATTCAACTGATCTAAGTCATGCTGAGCTCTTTCAGCTATTGTACTGAGATTCATGATGTATTGTTCGATATCTGACATCAAAATGAGCTGAATAGCATCGTTACCGCATTCTGCTGCGTAGTTAGTTCTCTGACAAGAGTAGAAGAACCATTTGAACAACTTATCAAGTGTTTTATTTGTTGATAGTGATTCCCAGCACATGAAGAAATAACATAGCAAAATTACTGCAACAAAAGTGAAGTAAATCAAAGCAACAATCTTCATGACACCTGAATGATTCTTCTTCTGAATGCCAATTGGATCTTCACTTACATCAGTATTGATCATCAATGGCTTTTTGGCATCTTCCTTCACACTATTAGGCAATTCTAAAAGAGATTTGAGTGTTTTGTCAACTAATTTGTTGTAAGAATTGATAATTCCTAATTCTGGTACAGTTGAGAAAATCAAGACACAAACTAAGCCAATAACAAGCCATAAAAATACTTGTTTCTCAATTGCTTTTGCGTTATTCATGTTGAAATCGAAGAATGATTTGAATGACTCTTGATTTGTATCGCATAAAGCAAATAGAGATGAAAGAACTTGGCAGTATGAATCATCTTTCCAAAGGTTAGGGATATCCATGCCAGGTAGATCTTTCATGTTCAATTGGCCAACAACAAGCAATAGTAAGAAATCGCTTGCAATCAATTGATCTTTGTAGCCAACATCAATTTCAGCAACTCTCTTTGTCTTAGAGCAAACAACGTACTTTGATTCTTGCCTGAGAAGTGAAGAAGCAATTTCGTATGGATTGTTTTCAACTGCCAAGGTAGCCAAGGAATTCAATAATGTGTTAAATGTTGTTCTGGCTTTAGAAATGCATGTATGTGCTGCTTGAACATGTGTTAAATCGTGCGAAATAACAGGCTTTACTGTTGTTTCATCTATGGAAATATCTCCTAGGATTTCATCAGCTTCAGGCGTGTCATGGAGATATTTGTTGTGCTCTGCTGCCCATTCTGTGTAAGTAAAGAAGATTGCAAGATCTGTGTAGAATCTGCCTGCACCTAAGTTTGTTAAATCAACATACATTGTTCTACGCCATTCAACTTTTGACTTGTAGAAACTATAGAAACCAATGAAGAAAACAAGCTGAACGATGAGACATGTGCTGGCGCATAAAATAATCAAAGGTGATTGTATTGGCTGCGAGTTGAAAATGGCTGAGTGGAAAGCTAATCTTGTCTTAGATTCTCTTAAAATACGTTTACCAACAGCTTCTTGATGTTCAACGTCGACACTTTGGGAGGAGAAATTAGCTGATGAGCCTTTTGAGCCGGTGTTGCCACTTCCATTGGAATTACTTGACTGTTCAGATGCATCTGCTTTTTGGGTGGCTCCTCTCTTAATAACTCTTCTTCCCTTAGTATCGATGATTCCATCTTTCAAGTAGCGAGGGAATTTATTAACAACGGAGCGGAAGGAAACATCAACATTGAAATTCTTACCATCTGCAATCAAATCTGCCTTAATCGATGTTACAATTGCTTTATTGAAATCACACATGCACTCAGCAAGGAAGTTTGCGTATTCATTGGTAATTCTCACATTATTTGGATTGTTTCCTAATATTTGGTCGAAGTTCAGACCAATAAATTTTGTTGTTCGTCCAAGATCTGTGCAAAAACTATTGTCGCAGGTTTGTTTGTCCCAAAATTGTCTAATTTGGAGCTTGCATGCATCATTCATTGCCTTCAACTTGTTGAATGTTTCAAGTGTTTCTTTGGTATCAGATACCAATCTTCTTGTCTTGATCCTATAGACCTGGTAGATGAGGAACCGTTCAACAAAACCAAGTTTACGCTTCATGGCAAGCTTCTTAAACAGAATATTCATCTTTCTCGACTCTGATGGGAAGAATGTGACAACTTGAAGGAGAATAGCTAATGCGGAATCTATATTTGCATTATTAATGATGTAATCTGTCAAAGAACCATCAACGAAATAATCACCAAGTGTTGCCAAACCGACAACGATGTACATCATAGCTTTCAATGCGCTCTTATCGATATCTAATGATGAAAAGTAATCAGGAAGGTTTATATCTTCTGTTTGATTCTGCAACTTATCATGAATCTTCTTAACACGGAGGATGAAAAATACCCTGCATAGAATGTATCCAAAGAACATAAATGCAATGAAAACAATGATCGTAAAGTTATATGTGAGATCTTGGAATGCATACAATATAAAGAAATTGACATCAAGAGCAATTGTTGTGATTCCAAATGCCATGCAAATAGCGTTACGCCATATTTCATAGAATGGAACAAATGATATTCTGTATACAATGTATACTGTCATTATGACGTGGGCAACGCCGAGTACTACATAAAACCAATCTTGGAAGAATACCATTATTGCAGAGATAATGCAAAAGAATGAAGTAATAATGACCCACATTATAATTGGTGATGCATCGAATAATGGAAATGTTAAGTTGGTCAATACAACTGAGCGAGATTTTAATAAGGCGCTTTCGCAGAATGAAAATAGATTAACACCGTATGATATTAGTCCAACAACTATTTCTGCAATAAAGCTAATCGAATAATTATAGTGAACACCAGTGATACCATGGCAGAATACGTAAACAGAAGGAATAATGAATATTGGATCGATTATATCAACTACAAATGATGTGATGTATAGGAATATATTTGGAATCGTAAGGAACTTCTTATAGTAATAAATCAAAAAGTAGACCCAAACAAATGATGTTAATGATACAGCTAGGCAAATATAAAGTTGTGTAAGATGAGAAACTGTATATTCATTCGGATTCTGGAATGTACATATTTGAAGAGCCCAATAGTAAATTTTCTTCCAAGTACCAGTTGCTCTTTGATACGGGGGTGCGTAGATCCAAAATCCAATTGAAAGTACTTGGAAAAGCTGGAATACGGCACATAAACTCATAAACCAAGCAGGTAACTTTGTTTTTTGCATCATGTGATCAAAAATTGGAAAAACAGAATCAAATTTACTAGAAGTAGCCTGGTAGAGTGTTTCTGAACCTGCAAGACTAGTGCTTTGACTTGCTGCTGACTTAGAAACGCTGGCTTCTTGATTCATTTTATAATATTATTCAATTGAAAATAAATTTGAAAAGGTTTTAACGTTAGAAAAAATATATATATCATCGATTTTTAAATACAATAAGAACCGGAATAATATAATTAAAATTGAATCAAAAATAAAATCATTCAAAAATTGACCAATGAAGAAAAAACGTTATTTTTTGAATACAACTGAATCATTTGAAAGCTAGATCGAATGTTTGAAATGGTAACTAACCTGAAAAGAGAATAATGGTGAAAATTTATTTTGCAAATATTGAAGAGAATATTTTCAAATTTGAGAAAGAAAATCGATCATAAAAATAGAAATTATTCATCACCATATAAAGTTGAGTTTTTCAAAAATTTAAAAATTTATCAATGATTTAAATTTTTTGAATATTGATACTTGTGTCCGATGTAATTAAAAAAAAAAAAAAAAAAAAAAAAAAAAAAAAAAAAGGAAGTGGGGCCCAGGGGCTGCGCCCTTCTAGCCCTGAAATGTTTAAAAAAAGTTGGAATTGAGGTAAAATTAGATGTTTAGTTTCATGGAACTTGACTGTCCATTGCATCTGCCATTTGTTGGTCGTCTTCTGATGGTGTTCTTGAATTTTATTCTTCTCTCGGGTACAAATTCGTCATCATCAGGTGAGTCTTGTGGTTCATCTTCTTGAGTAGAGTCTTTCTTCAACATCAAAGTCATCTGGTGTATCGAACTGAATGTATGAAAGCCAAATGTTGTATGTGTTTTTCCAATTGGCTTTCAAACTTGAGATACATTCCATGCATGAGTGTTATTTCAGTTTCAACGTAGAGTTGCTGACGTGGCTTGAAGACATGCATGAGAATTGGTCCTCCAAATTCGTCCTTGAAAAAACTTGCAGTAGCAAACATAAACTGAGATAGAGTCTCCTTCTTCAATGTCTTCTGCTTGGTTAACGAAATGAATAGCAATTTTGCGTACTTGAATTGTGTTGTTTCTGTTTAAATAATGAAAAATTTGATTGAACTTGGGGTTGAGTGAGCTAAGACATTGCCATTTTGCTGTTTCTTGTCCGTACTCACGTTCTTCTTCGTCATCCTGATATCCGTAACTCTTTAATTTGAATTCGACCCAAAACTGTTCGACTTGTTTTGCAGCTTTGGGTGGAAGACTTTCAATAAGCTGACATATAGTTCTGTCAACCATTATCTTTGTTATTGTTGGAAAATAGTTGACAATTGTGTCACCTAATTCGAATGGGTCAGGTGTTTCTTTTTGTAGTTTGGTAAAGTCTGCAAGAACTTTGTTGAGTTGTTCACAATATTCTTTGTTAAAAGTTGCAGGAACTCTTTCTTCTGGCTTTGAATTGAAGTATTCTTCAGACAATCTGAGTAGTATTTTGCGTAGTTCAGCGTTGCTGTGGTTCTTTGTAATACGGAGCTCGTTTGGTATTGTTTTTGGTAGTGAAAGTGGCTTTGGATTGAGCGAATTGTCTGTTCTGCTTGGAGAATGTGTAGATGCTGCAGTTTGATGTTGAGGCTCTAAACCTGTGGGTGCTGAAAGTTTGCAAGCAATTTCTTCAGGTGAATTTGGAGCGAACACGCTAGCGAATGCCATTAGAAAAATAAACTGTTTTTTTCGGACTACTCATAGAAAAGTTTAAAATAAACCGTTTTCGTCAACGGTAACCCCCTCTATTTTTTTATTTTATTTAATAGTTACCGTTGGCAAACCGTTCCATCTCAAATATTGAATGAACTATAAACGTTTTTTGTTTTCTATATATACTTTTTTGTCCAACGGTAAAACTTTTTACACAACGGTTTTTGAGAGTCGTCGCCGTTGACTTTTTTGTAGAGCACTCAAAATAGTATAACTTTGTCCGGACAAGTAAGGGTCTATCGTCGCTACAGGAAAAGTTACAGGCGTTCCAAGGAAGTATACTTTGAGAAGCCTTTCCCCTTTTAAAAAGATAGGACGGTTATTTTACAAAACTGACAACACTTTGACCGAGTAGTTTTTTGTGCTGAACAAAAAGTGTCATATAAACATCTGTCAAAAACCGTTTTTTACTTCACTTAAAATTGCCACGTAAGCTACGTAAGAATATACGTAAGAGGAAGAGAGCATTGAAACATCCAATAGTAAAACTAACACCACAACAACAGTTGCAACAACAAATTATGAATGACCCCACTATGTTGCAACAAATGTCAAGCAACCCTATGCTTTTAAACCGAGTTATTGGTGCACAGAGTGGAGGTTTAAGAGCGGCACTTTTAGCGAAAATGGCAGGCTATGGTGGAGCTGCAGACGGAACAGCTTATAACCCTCAAAGTCAAATGAATTTGAGTTCACTCAAAAATCAAATAACAGATGTCAAAAAGTCAAACATAGACATACAGAAACAAATAAGTGAAAACGAAAAGAAACTAGAATATGACAGACACACAAAGAAACTCAATGAGTTAAACGTAGAGAAAAAGAAGAAAGAAGAACAACTGAAAGAACTAAGTACAGAGGAATATGCGAAAAAAGTGTCAGAAAAAGCAGCAGAAGTAGCAAAAATGGAACAAGATGTCATAAATTTGAAAAACCATACTACTCAATATAAAGTACTGAAAGATGAAGAAATAAAACAAAAAGCCCTGAAGACATATATGGATAGCGATGAGTATAAAAAAGAAGTTGAAGCAAATGTAAAGGCAGAAAAACTTTTACAGTTGCAAAACCAAACCGTACAGTATGAAAACTTAGCACAAGAAAGTAAAAATAACGACGCAGCCATGCAAAAGGCAATGAAAAGCGCAGAATATATAAAAGCTAACAATGACTGGTTAGATGCCCAAGCCAACGCTAAAGCAGCCCAACTTATAGGGTCAATAAGGACAAAAATACAAGCGGATGAAGACAGTTCAAATGAAGCTTTAACAAATGCTGACTTTAAGAACGCCTTCGAAGCTCTTCATTGTAAGGTGAAACAAGTGAACGACTTCTCATCTGGAAAGAAACTGAAGTCTGAAGGTTTCGACAAAGAGTTAAAAGAAGTAGCACAAAATATGACGAAAATAACAGATGCAGCAACGAGACAGGCAGTTCAAAGTGCCTATGACGCCGTTAGAGCAACTGTTGTGAAAAGTCAAGAAAAAGAGTTACAACAGACCAAAACAGACCTAGTAAATGCTTTCTTAAAAACGAAAAGTCAGGTAGGACATTACGCTGCAGATGGAACATATGTGCCAGCTGGTGGAACTTATATACCACCAAACCCTCCAAGAGAAGCACCTGCACCAGGACTACCTAGAACATTTACATCGTCACATGGACACAGACACAGGCATGCACAACAACCAGCACAACAACCACCTCCACAACCAGCACAACAACCAACACAACAACCAGCACAGCAACCAACAGTTCAAAACCCTGCACAACAACAACCACAAACAGAGCAAGGACATAAAAGAAGTAGAGAACAAGGAAACCAAGAATTCTTAAAAATGCTTAAAGAAGAGTGTGGTTTCCCAGATACTGTTGACTTTAGTGACAGATATAAAGAAGCTATTAGAAAGTTCAAGGATGGAAATACTGACCCGAACCTATTTAGCTTTATGGCTCAGCACCAAAACGGATATAATCTCAAACCTGGAAAATACAAGCTCGCTAAGGGATATGATTTAATAGCATATCATCCAAATGACATGGATGAATTTACTCCGAGATATTTGATGTCAGAGCTAAATGACAATTCAACTTTCGTCATGAAACGCGTAAAAAATAGAGACGGAACGAAAGAACAAAAGCTTATGAATGCGGATGACGTAGATAGGGAAATTGTTGAAAACGGTCTCGGAATATATGAAATGCCAGCAGATGAGGTACAAGAAACTCCACAGGAAGAAGTTCAGATACAACCAGACATGGAAGAAATAGTTCAGCAACAACAGCTAGAAGAGCCTGAAGGAAACGAACAAGTCCTTCCTTTGGAAACTAACTTCACAGAACTAGATGAAGATTTGGAACAGCCGAAAAATCTTGACCCTCAACAAGAGTATGCGGAGAATATGGAATATTTCCAAGAGTCTAAAAAAAATTCGGCTGACATAGTAGAAGAATATCGAAAAATGTTTGCCGACATACAAAAGACTCCAACATCAGATGAAAATATCCAGCATAGAATGGAAGAACTGAAAAAAAATGTACACAAATACAACAACCCTTTTTACTTACGAGCATTTAACGTTCAATCTTCGGATGAACTCGGTGAAAATAAAAGGTTAAATTTCAAGAAAACATATAGAAATGAAACATTGTTTAAAGTTCATTCAGAACCTAACCAAGATGGAAACAAACCTACTTTTGTTTCTGCAGACGATGGAACTACAATGAGATGGGGTCATAAAGCTAATCCGGATAGGTGGTTCATAAACTTACAACCACAATTCCAAGAAGTTGTAGACGCAATGGAAGTCAATGGTGAACGAGATATAGCTGGTATTTTAAGCGCGGCTTTAATGCCATTGAAAGATATGAAAGATGCAGATATTTTGAACCAGTATGAAATGAACATGGCTGATGGAAATATAACACCTGACGTTCTAGAACATTTATCTCAAAGAACTACACAGAACCATAGAGATGGTATATTTGGTGAAGAGTTTAGAAAGAAAGTTAGGGAGACAGAAGGAAGAGAACCTATTGTACATGACCTTGCAAACGAAAGTTTGCAAAATGTCATAAAAACTTACTTTGCAGACAATGAACCGAGAAGGGATGAATATTTAAGAAAACTCAAATGGACAGTACCAAATGAAATGTTAGTATTGAAAAACATGTTCCTTGACAAAATAAAACCAACTACAGAAATAAATGACGCAAGACTGAAACATTGGGTAAAAGCTTTCCCATTCACAAAAGATATTATTGGTAACATGGAAAGAAAACCAGAATGGCTACAAAAACATATATTTGGAAACGAGCTTATTCCATATGGACAAGCTCTGTTTGAAGAGCTTGAACCGGAAACTCAGGAA